TGGGCCAACCCGGCTCAAGTTGCAGCCTTAATTTTAGTTTAATTTATTTATGTTATTTAACATCCGATTATAATCCAAATTCGATTTGAATCTACTAGATATGACCCAATTTGAATTCAAATGTAAACAAATCAAATTGGGATATACCTATTTCCGATCCGATCCGTTTGCATCTCTAATCAAAACTAAACCGTTGGTGTCAACCATTGATCTTCAAATAATATACAGGAAAGAAGATGGATAGGAAGCCCCCTGAGGCTCCCAAGATTGTTGTGCCAAAGCCTGTCGATGTAAGGGAGATGAAGAATCTTTCTCCACAGCCCATCTTGTCACCGACGGGACGCAGGGGCAATTCGTTCAAAACACTAAATGGAAAGCAGAATTGCCTGTGCTCACCAACAACACACGCCGGATCCTTTCGATGCCGGCATCACAGGCATCAGAAGAAGACCGGCCTCACCCGAAGTGGTGGCTCTCTCGGCAGTAACCTCTCTGAATTAGCAGCTAAACCACCCCCTTCACCCATTAGTTCATGCTCCATTGACCTTATCACCACCACCACCACTGCCACTGGATTTGGGCCTCGTCCCGGAAGAACAAGGTGATTATCTTCGGTTGTCATCTAGTTCTACTTCTTTAACTGTCGACAGTTAAATAGGGTGGTTTAATTTTTCTCTCAACTTGTGCAAGTGCAGAAGTATTATTTAATTTTTCGTTTGGTTTTATTGAACTTAATTATTTCTTTTCTTTTATTCGTTGTTTCATTCAACTGCTGAAGGATTACATGTATATTACTCCATTTGATTACACATGAAATGAAGAAAAAAGTGATTTTCTGAATATATTACAATTTTGGGAAAATCTATGCAAACATGGTATAGTAAGAGTTTTGGCTACCATGGTTATATTCCAGTTGATTGGTCAGAAGTTTTTCCGATATCATATCTTTCCGATATCATAGTCGGCCTTACAATTTTAGTTTATAGTGTTTTGTTGTACGGAAAAAAACTGAAAAGAAAAGCTTTGCAAAAAAGTGAGTGTTGATTTTAGCCTATATATATTTGGTTTGAAGGAAAAAGATAGGGAAACCCATACTTCCTTTCCCTACCTTTTTCCTCCAAACCAAACACAGCCTTGGGGAAGTGATATTCCTTCTAATACCGAATATCATAGTTATGGCTGGACATCAAATATCAAATGAAATTCCTTATAAGAAAAAATTAGTAGCAAAAGTTTCAAATCTCTATTAATTTCTCTATCCATGGATATGCTTTATCAAGGGGTAACCGGGTAAGTCTAAGAAGGTATATATGATATCTGGCGAACTTTGGCCAATCAAAACAAGTTTGGATCTCCTACTTACAAATTCTTCTGACATCACTACCCACAAGACACTATAGGCGTGCATTGAGAATATCTCCCTTGTCATTCATGGGAAGACGTTCCCAATATACGGTGGTATCATGTGGGTAGAGATGGAAAAGAGTTTGTGGGTAGGAGATAGGCAGAGTAAATCAAATGAATATCACCTGATTGGTTACCACTTTCATGCTATCGATTGACTGGCTACAACTTTTTTTGGTAATAGTAAACATGTACATGCATTTGCATGTGATAGTATCTCTAAGACAAAACTATTTATAATTCATGAACAGTTTCTGTACGTTTATAAGTGAGCAGTTTCTAAAGTGAGAGTGAATGAGATATATATTCTTTTTATGCCCGTTGTATGCTTAGAAAGAGGGATAGAAAACGTCCAATGAAAATTCTAGAAAGAAGGGGCATTCGCTCTTTTATAGATAGTATAGATCTTTGTCAAGGGATGAAACTTTGACAAATTCACATTAAGTATTTATCAAAATTTAAATGAACCCGGCCCAAAAACTAAGGACAGATGCAATTCCCAACTGTATGGGGGTAGGCTACATCAAGGAATATCCTAATACATGTAAATTCTTCAAATTGAGTACCTGACTTACCTTCCTTAATTATGGACATGTCCTAACCAATTTTTTAGAATTATCCAACCACCATAAGTGGTAAGAGAGGTTTTGGCATGAATTGAATCACGGGAAGAAAATTATGGCTGCAGCCAATCCTAGCCCAAGTAGGATCATACAACATTAATACCAACTTTATTAATAGATAATAATAGTGTAAAGGCATGTGGTATGCATGTGCTCAAGTAAGTATTAACCATATGTGATATATGGTATTTGGATTTAACTTTTTTTATGACCATGTGGTATGCACTTTCTTTACCCAAACTGAACTAAACCTATATATATTGATGATGATTTCTTGAAAATCACTGCCATGTCAAAGCCACGTCAGTTGTAGAGAAATCGGCATTGAAATTTTTGTTTATTTGATCGATTTTGGTGATTTCAAGGAAATCAGGCAAAAATCAATTCTTGAAATCAACTCTTTTTAGGGATCACCTTTTTTAGTGAATTCCTAATTTCTAGCTGATTCCAATTTTTTGAGGATAACATAGCATTTAATAATAACTCTAATAAATAATCGGCCTTGAGAATCAATACCAAACAAACTCAAAGCTAATCTCTCAAAAATCATCTTACATGGAAAAAAAATGATACCAAATAACAAAATTTACCAATTTCTGAAAGAAAAAAAACACTGATTTAAAAAATCATCATCTTTTGAAAAATCGCTATAAAGAATCATCATCAATGCCAAACATAACCTTAGTTAAAATGTTCAATTTATTAATATATAAACGATTTAATATTTTACTATCATTCTTATTAATATTATCAAAATTTACGTTTTAAGTATCAGAATAAATGGGTCTATCGAATAAAACCCAATAGGACCTGATTACAAATTGGGACGGATTTGGGTCCATTATTTTGTTTCGATTAATTATTGATTCGGAATTGATTCTACTTAGATGCCACAAAAAAAATAATATAATTTTGTCGACGTGAGAATTGTTAGGTGGCAGTTGTTTTCGCTTTCAAAAACAAAAGCAACCATGCTGTCGAACACTACCCCTTAATCCAATTGGGTTCTGATTCCAATTTGCTCTATCCGAAGCTGAACTGGATTATTTTGTTTTTTCCAACTTCACAGAATTTTTTGTGGTCCAACCAGTTTGGTCGAACATATCGACGTTTATCAATTATTCAAAAACAAATAATGGGGATATGTTCGACGAAGCTGGTTGGACCTGCTGCCAATCCGGTTCTGATTCGTCCCGTGGTTTAAGATCTCCGGCTTGTTTGGTTTACAAGTGAAAACAAAACGAAACAAAACAAGAAATCGTACATGGATAACATGGAATCCAGTTGTAAGGCAAGCGAAGAACAAACAGATCAGAACTGCAAATTAACTTGGTGGATGATGGTAGTACGTACCAGCCATTTAGTAAGAAGAGCATCAGTAGATCCATTAACTCGGAGTCACGGTTGACTAGTGACTACTGCCATTGAGAAGCTACGTACGGTTCAGAGCATACCCTGGACCCAGCATTGTTTGACACACGGACCGACCCGGATCTGCTCCAGTGAATCATGTTTCCATTGATTTGCATGAATGATAGTACTACCAATAATGCTTCGCTCCAACCTGGTGGGACCTCCGCACCCCTGCAACCACCACGTTTTAGGGTCTTTTTAATAATTATATCCATGTATTACTTTGGACTTGGGGTCAGTATCTGCCTCCCAAATAGTGGTGTTACCCGGGCTGCCCGGGTTAGCCCGAAACAAACCCAAAATAGGTTTAGTTGGGCTCAGATCGACTTGAAATTCCAGGCCATCAGGGTTGAAAAATATGTATCCAATTCAACCTTTGGCTAGGGGTGTCTAAGGTTCGGTTAGCCAAATTATGGGCATATTTTGCAAATCGAACTGGTGGTATTGTTTTTTCCGTTTCTCTAAACCGAAATTAAATTAGTACCATCGGTTAATCGGTCCGTCGGTTTTGGTTTTTTATATTTATAATATATATTATATAAATATATGTATAATATTATATTATAAATAATAGATGATATATAATATATTATAAATATTTTAAAAAATATATAATATATTTATAAATAGATTATTATATATATGATATAAGTATATTTATATATAATATATAGAAAATATGTGACATATATTAACAATATATATAAAATATACATATAAATATATATACCAGTCGATTCAGTTAATTGTTGATTTTTTTGTAGATTAACCAAAAATTGAACCAATCATTCGGTTTTTCAAAAATTCCAAATCAAAATCGAACCAATCAGTTCGGTTAACCGCATTTTACGATTTGGTTTGTCGGTTTTCATGAACATCCCTACCTTTGGCTTAGGTTAAAAATTTGAAGTACAACTTAGATTCGACCCGAGTTAGCATTTTACAATACTTTAGGTTTGGGCCTTCTGACCGGGTTCATTCAAATTTTAACAAAAGCGCAATTCAATCCTGTAGGTTGACGTAGACCCGACCAAACCCGGTCCAACTTGACCCTCCTTCCGAACCAACCAAAAACTTCTGCGGCCTAAGTGATTCTAAATATTATCCATCCACGTCAAGAATTGCAGCGTCTTATTGATTGTATTTAGCAAACCAAGACAAATCATGGAGCCGACCGGTTCCATCAGGGTGACATGGACACGGACAAAAGGGCAGAGACACGTGGCCGACAGGAAGATCAGGAGAAGCCAAACAGGCCCTTGTAGGAAGGAGAAAATAGGTACATAGTGGGGAGAAGAATGATGGAGACACAGAGACTAAGAGAGAGAGAGAGAGAGGGAGTAGGATCTTCATCTTGATCTTTCTACTCGCTTCTCAGCTTTAAGTAGCAACCACCCACGACCTACGACCCACGACCCACGACCCACGACCCACTTGAAGAATTTGATTGCTTTCGATTTCGATCACACAGCACACAGACAGCACCAAATGCAAATCAAATGAAAACCCTAATCCCTTCTCTTTTCTCTCTTTTTTTTTTTTAATTTTTTTTCATTTCAAATTCAATCAGCTTATTACGATGGTGTATGCGAAAGAAGGAATGATGATTAATTACATTACTATGTTGACTAAACCAACAAATCTACCTCATTTATTCATTCATCGTCTTTTTGGGGTCTCAGTCTCGCTTTTTCTTTAGCCACCTTATCGTGTACATTTCACCCGGTGAATACAACAGAAACCCGTGAACTCCTTCCTATTCTCTTTATTATAAGTAATAACCCTCTCTCTCTCTCTTTCTCTCTCTGTGTGTTTTGATTTGGTTAGCTTTCTGAATGTGGGGCTTTGGAGTTCGGAACTTGGGCGGTTTTCAGTAGTTGGAAATACAGTCGAGTTGCTTTCCAGAGGCGGCAGCTGAGAGAACGATTATCAGGTTCGTCTGAGATTCAGCAGAGAATTTCTTGACATCTTATGGTTTTCCTTTTCCGTTTTTCTTTTGTGCACATATGCTTTAGTTTGCTGATGCCATGAGAATTCTCTGCAATAAAAGCTTTTTATTATTAAAAAAAATCTGTTGCAATATCGCATCCCTGCTTCTGTTACCAGTTCGATCACCCAACAATCATATAGAATATTGGTGGTAATATTTGTTGTTTGATATATGTGGATTCGATCGGTTACATGAATTCTATTGCTCCAAAGAAACTTACGTGAAATATGTTTGTTCTTGTTTTCTGTTGGGTAAGAAAAAGAAATGAAAAGCATTAAAAAATGCTCACCAATTCACCAAAAAGTGACGATCGATCTGAGAAAACGCTTCGTTGACTGAACACCGGGAACCCTACCGTGTTCATCACCCATTGGCTTGAAACTGGAAATTAATACTACTTCACAATATCTCTTTGTTTTTCTCAAGGTATCAAAACTTTGGACCAATGAATGTTAGATGCCTATGGTTCTCATGGTTTTCTGTTTTCTCAGCGAGAGTCCATTCCAAAAGCCACAATGAATAATAAGGCAAAACAAAAGAAAAATTAAAGAAAGCGCTTTTTATAAAAGAAGTGATCTCAAAAATTTTGTAGAAAAGAAGATATGGATAACTTTTATCAAAGTACTCCCGAGTGTCATCTATCTATATATCTTTTTAAAAAAATCCAAATAAAACATGATTTTAATTTATATCGTAAGATTTCCAATTAAAAATCCAGTTGCATAGGAACAGAAACAATGGGATCGAATTAATTAAGCTGCAGCTTTTAGCTTTTAGGAGCTTTAATTTAATGGTTCTTCATCATCGTTTTTAATGCTGATGCATATGCGATAATTAAGCACGTATGTAGAAGGTGCTGAAGCGAAAGCTAAAGCAAATGGTCCTTCTGTTCGAGCAGGACCAACTCTGTCGAATCTCTGTAACATCTTGTGTTAGCTCAAGAATCACTATCTGTCCATGGCGTTGAAACCGGGAGACAATAGGATGAAGTGGGTCGAGAGTTACTTGACGTTTGGCCACTGGTACTGTGCCATGCACGTACCGTGGCTCCTTTAGCACCATTAAGCTAGGGTAAAGAGCACGTAACACCATTTGTGGTCTCAACGAATCGGTGGTGATAAAGGAAGGGAACTGCTGCTGCAGTCACATACTTTCCAAAAAGAAAATGACAGAGAGCTAGCACAGTATAACGTTTTGAATGCATGATATTTTCCGGGATATCACTCATTCTCTGTATGGAATATATGCATGAAAACGGAGTCCCGTTAGTTATAAACAGAAGAGACAAAACCTATTGTTTTTTCTGTTAAAGTTTATGAGTTAATAGTCAAGGTTGTGGGCTTTGATAGACTCCATTCAGAGCCAAAACTTGTCTCTTGATCTGGCCTTATTATGTACTACTACTCTATACCTCTGGCCCAATATTGATTCATCTGGTCCAATCTTTGGCATTCAGAAGATGCCTGGAGTTTTGATCAGTTCTTAATGGAAAATAGCTATTGGCTATCTGAAAAGGTTTAGACATAAATAATATAACTAGTGGCAAATGATCTTGATCTGGGTCTTACTTTTGGCCCACATCAAGATCAAAAGCTTCAACAGTTGGTATTCCTATCTCTACAGTTGGTCAAGATTGATCAGTTAGGTCTACCAAGCGAATGGTCCAAATTGATATGGATTATAAGCCACAAATAGATGGATGGCATGCATCATACGTGTGTGGAGCATCAGATGTTCCCAGAATTAATGCATTTTTCATAGTAATAGTATATGATCATGAGTAATGTACATGTTCCTCCAAGTGCTCATCTATTCATTTATTGTGAAGTTTCTTCTTTAAGCTCCCAGAAAGCTTTTTGGATAAGTACTCCTTTATTTCTACATTTGTGAATCCTAAAGATAACTTATGAAAACAATACAATAAAAAAATAAGCATGCAGAATTGCAGATCACTGGCGGGTCTGCCCTTATTGGGTCCAACTCTTCTCAGTTTCCACCACTAACAATTTGCTTTGCTTTTGCATGATAGAAAAAGCTAGCTGTTCAATATATAGCTCTACTTTTTATAGAAGGAGATCTGCTTGGGCTCAACTAAAGTCAGAACAGTGAGGCAGATCATGGGATCCTTGTTGGATGAATGGCATATAGTACAGTACTAATCCACATTCAAAAGAAATATAAAGTACTATTTCTCCATTTGCTTGTGTTAGTCAATAGGGTGTTCACTCAACTTATTAATGCTGCAGCCAAGGAGTACTAACAATTTTATATCTTTTCTGGACTTTCATTGTCCATTGCTGTTGTCTTCTTCTTCTTCTTGGTCTTCCATTAACATTGTTTTTGGTCTTTGATATATCCTTTTATTTGGGACATATAACCATGAGATATGAATTCATTCTAACAAGGTAGCTCTTTGATATAGCTTCTCTTCTTATGGGGTGTTCTAAGAAAACTCCTTTGTTCTCTTTCCCAATTATTGTTATTTAATAATAATTTCTTTTTCTTTTTTGATTTTCTTTTTTCCTTAGATGGAAAGTAGGAAGCCTCTCAGTTGTACTCTCCATGTATAGTTCTTTTGATTCGCCTCCTAATTAGCTAGGTGCATGCAACTATTACCAATTTGGTAGCATTACAGTGAGTGGAATTATTGTTCAGGTTTAGGTTATACTGATTTGGAAGATCTATCACAGACAAGGAGCACGGATCAGTTCTATTAACTAAAGTGGGCGGACTCAAGAGCATGTGATACGAGATTAGTTGGGAGAAACCATTAGTTAACCAAGACAAGAATGAAGTTTATGAAACTTGGGACCAGGCATGATACCTTCTACACAGAAGAGGCAAACAGGTATGGTGAACTCATAATTACACTACAAATAGGATCAAAATCTTCCTCTTGTAGAAAACTATGTATTAAGCAAGAAAATGGTGTTAATTAAAGAAAAATATTTCAACCATGCAGGTCTGTCTCTTCAGATGTGCCAAGCGACCTCACCATACAAATTAACAACATTAAGTATCTGCTTCATAAGGTAGTTTTTACTTAATTATTTCAGTCTTCCAAACAAGAACGTTCACAGATGATTGTTTTCCTTCACATATTCGGGATTTCCTATTCTTCCAAATAAATAGGGGTGGGCGCAAGTCGGGTGGGCTGGGCTGGGTTTATGGTCAATCCAGTCCATACTCTAAGATTGGCCCCAAAGCCCAAACACAGACCAAGCCTAGGGTCAAACCCAATCTTTTCGTTTCAAGCTTAGCATGTACTGTAATTTGATGCACTCAGGTTGGTATCGGGCCCGGCCAGGCTTAGGTTGGTCAATGAACCTATTCTGAAATTTGACATATATGTGTACATGTATATATGTATGCATATATGCAAATATGTATACATATACACATGTATATATGTAAATATATACGTATGAAAATGTATAATTAGGCTGGGCTCAGACAATCTGAGGGCTAGGCCCGGGCCCTTCCCGAGGACCGAAATTCCAAGTCCAACCCTTGTAGTATTGCAGGCTCGGTCAGTCTAGGCTCGAGCTGGACCTGCCCAAGTTGCACCCATACAATTAAACCAACACAAAGCAAGAGGCAATAGATTCCTCGGAGAATTGTATTTAAAACATTCTCATGATCGCTTCACACCTTTGTTAATGAAAATATGCAAGAGATGGTGTCCCAACCCAGCTGGATGAACCTAGATCTTCTGTTTGGTACGTTGAATTAATTGGAGTATTTAAAAAAGATATAATTGCATATGATCCAAAAGATATACCCTCTAAATCAGATTGTTATGAACATTGACGTGGATGAATAAAATCTCCTTTGTGTGGAAATAACTATACAATGCAGGAAGCTGGCAGAATGGAATATTTCATCCTGCAGCCTTACGTGGACTACATAGTTTGGACATAGATATGCTTATTTAATGTGAAAGTAACTAGACCCATCAAAAGTTTAAAACAAAGCAGCCAGTGAAAGGTATGATCAAAGCAAAGCCCACACAAGAACCAAACGGAAGAAATTGGATGATAATAGATAAATCATATTCATCCTATTGCAAACATGAATTCATAGCAAAAGAATTGTCATATCACCAAGAGATAATACAGCAAGATACCAAAAGCCTAGTGAAAGCATATGAAGCAACAAATAAACACCCAATTCAAATTAACCTGATCCAATGCTAAATCCTGAGATCTAGGTTTTTTTTTGTTTTTTTTTTCTTAGGCTCAGTTTGGAAAGAGTGCAAAATCTTGTATTTGGTATTATTTTGTCTGTATTTATATTGTACTCTTCCCAAACTAAGCCTTAATGTCAATCTCACACCACTGTTAAAACAAAAATTATATATCCTGAAAAATTAAATAAAATATATCATAATTAACTTAAAAATTGAAAGATTGTAAAGAGTAGCAATGGAGTTATTTATGAATACCTGAAGACACAAACTCTAAGGCTGTGTTTGGTTTGAAGGAAAAAGTAGGGAAAGGAAAGGAAAGGCAGGGAAACCTTTACAAACTATGGGTTTCCCTACCTTTCCTTTTCTTTCCCCACCTTTTACTTCAAACCAAACATAGGCTAAAAGCTCTTTACTCTACAAAGAAATGGAGAAAAATAACCATATCAGGTTTCACATTTTTTTTTCAGCTTCCATACTAATCATCTTTCCAATTCAAAGTTAGATGTTTCTTAATTCTGGCATTCTTAACTGTAGTTCCCACTCCTTCCAAAATGTGGCCTCTTACAAGGACTCTGTTCTGATACTGACAACCCTAGCGAAATATCAGTAGTAGAGCTTCATTTAATTCCTGGAGGAGAAGAAGCTTTTGAGCTGTGTGCTAAGTTCTGCTATGGTATTGCTATTAGTCTCAGTGCTCGAAACATTGTACCTGCATTATGTGCTGCAAAGTTCCTTAGGATGAATGAATCTGTTGAGAAGGGAAATTTTGTCATGAAGCTTGAAACCTTCTTCAACTCATGCATCCTTGAAGGTTGGAAGGATTCAATTGTGACACTACAAACCACAGCACAGCTATCAGAGTGGTCTGAAAATCTTGGAATCATCAGGCGGTGCATTGACTCAATTGTTGAGAAGATTCTCACACATCCATCCAAGGTTAGTGAGAAACTAAGTTGTAAATTGACTTGAATTGCATCTGATCATAAAGGGTAAGAGAAGAAAAAAGTTAGACATTCTCTTTCCTCCAATCTAAGATGAATTATTTTTATTCTTTTCTTAACTACAGCATATCTCTGTAGGTTACATGGTCCTTCACTTACACCAGGCCAGGATACACAGAAAAGCGCCACCATTCTGTCCCAAAGGATTGGTGGACAGAGGACATATCTAATCTCAAAATAGACCTTTTTCAATGTATAATTGCAGCAATAAAATCAACAAATATGCTCCCACCACAGCTCATTGGAGAAGCATTGCATGTATATGCATGCAGATGGCTACCAGTAACAACAGAGAATACAGTATCTCAGACTGAAGAAGCCAAGGAGAAACATCAGAAGCTGCTTGAGAGCATTGTAAGTATGATACCAACTGATAAGGGATCAGTCTCAATTGGGTTCCTGTTGAAGCTACTGAGCGAGGCAAATTTTCTTGGTGTATCCTCTTCGACAAATGCCCAGCTCATAAGGAGAGCAGGTAGGCAACTAGAGGAAGCAACTGTTAGGGACTTGCTCTTCCCCTCATACTCATCTACAGATCGGCATTTCTATGATATCGACTTAGTAGGGGCAGTTCTAGAAAGTTTCTTGATACAATGGAGAAGAAAAGGCTCTCCAGAAGACAGTGAGTCTGTAAAAGTGATAAGGAAGGTAGCACAGGTTATTGATTCATATCTCCAAGTTGTTGCAAGGGACGTCAATATGCCAGCTTTGAAGGTAGTCATTCTTGCAGAATCCTTGCCAGAAATTGCCCGGCCACAGCACGATGAGATTTACAAGGCAATCAACATTTATCTCAAGGTACGTAAAGCATTTAGAATTGAAAATAGTTGTGCTCAACATACACTTGGAACAATGCAATCAACATTTATCCATGAAATCTTAAGTCCAAAGGCCACCAAATGGATTAGACATGTGGATCACAGTCACCACACAGACCTGGGCCCTAAACTTTTTGGTTTTTTATGCTTTTGATAGTAACCCACGTTTCATAATGGTAACCATCTGATTATGGATCCAGATGGCTAGACAGTTTAGCTTGATAAACATGTGTATTAATTTTAGCTAGAGGTTTATTCTACAATCTCAAAGAACGGTTCAATCTAAAAGGATTAAGCTTTCATCTGGTGAAGTCACTGAATAGGATTTTTAATTAATACTTATAACGGGGGCAGCAATCGAATTAGACCACTTGTAAATCAAACCGATTGAAAAAACCAACCGAAATTGAACCAAAAAATATAATATTGGTTTCGGTTAACCAATATAGAAAACCGGTAGTTAATCGAACCAACCGGTATATATATATTTCTATATATTTATGTATATTATATATTTTTTATATATATTTATAATATGATATATTATATATTATTTATTATTTAAAATATAATATTTTATATATATTATATACATTTTTTAATATATATTGTAAAAATTAAAAAATTGAAAAACTGATTACCGAACCGTAAGCACCCCTAATCACTTGGTCAAACATGCACTAATACCATCTCAAAGAACCCCTCAACCTAAAAGTTTAACCTGTTAAATGAGGTCTCTGAATAGGGTTTTTATTCTCTAACACACCCAATGTGGACAAGCACAGGCCCACTTATAACTTGTGTTGAAATTTAATTAATTATAATGGGCAAGGAGGATCAAATGCTAGACCACTTGATCAAACAGATTCATACCATCTCAAAAACCCTTCAACCTAAAAGCTTAACTTTTAGGTAAATTTTTTTACTCCAACATACGACAAACATCTTTTTCTTTGTGAAAGCTCTGAGCAGGATATGCAAGAAGATTCGGTGATATTTAAGCACTTTGTTTGCCTTTATTGATGCCAGGAGCACCCAGATTTAAGCAAAGCAGAGAAGAAGCACCTCTGTCGAATTCTGGACTGCAGAAAATTATCTCCTCAGGTATGCGCACATGCGGTAAGGAATGAGCGGCTGCCATTGAGAACGGTAGTGCAAGTGCTGTTCTTCGAACAGGAGAGAGGTGTCAGGCCAACCACTCACCAACCCCCACAAGACGAGGTCATCCCTGGAGATGGACACCAGATGCCAATTCACAGAGACAAGAATTACAGCAAGTCAAAAGTATCTGATCAAACAAATCATCCTAAAACGATGAGACTAGATGAAAAGCTGGCGGTGGAGTTGGAAAAGATGGTGGTTGCCAGGAGAGAGGTGAGGGAAGCGGATACTAAGAAGGGGCAAGAGATAAGAGAGGAAGCAAAGTCTGGAAGCAAGATGGAAGCTAAGAAAATGGAGAGGAAGAGCAAATCAAAAGTAAGAGAAACGTCGTCCTAGCTATCTCTGCACTTCTTTTTTGCTCCTTGTAAATCTATCCAAAAGTGCGCCATTTCACCACAGATCTTGTGAACCTTTAATTATGCCCGCTTTTCATTTCTTTCTGTTCATTTGCTTAACTAATGGCTCATCCAATCCATAGAAAGCTGAAGTGCAGAAACAATTCATACACTGGTCTTCAATGCTTAATAAGTTTGGTTACTATAACTATATCTAATATGTTTAGTTGATTATTATTTGGCTTTTATATAGTTATTGTTGGGATCTGCTCACAACAAAATCTGTCCCAACATGTTTCCAGCATGATTCGTCTCACCATGGGACTGGGACCCACTATGTTTTCCATGTGTGGACGTAGATCATGTTGGAACGTGTTGGAATAGTTTTCTTTTGTGGACAGATTAGGGTCCATAAATTATAGCTAACTCCCCTTTAGCAAAATACTTGTCTCCTACCACATTGGAGGACATGCATCCTACCATAGCTATTTTACACAGGTTTAGGGATTACGATTCAGGGGCTTAGGATTTTATGGTTTAATGATTTAGACTTTAGATTTTAGGGTTTAAGATTTAGGTCTTGTTTATGCCTCAGATAAATGACTTATCTGAGTGTTTCTTAGGAAACATTTATCCAAATAAGATCACTTACGTACCAGTGTTCTTTTATTCCCCAAGGTGTACAATGACCAATATATCCAAAAAAGTGACATTATTGAAGGGACAATATTGTCCTATCACGTATTAGCGATTTTTGACATGTATGGGTAAGCAATTTACCCAATGTCTGAGGAGATTATTACTTTTCCAGATAAATAAATCACTTGAGAATAATTCTTTTTTTTGGGACCCACTAATACTCAAAAATGAACATGGATTTATTTATTTTCTGTGGAATCTACCAAATTACCTACCTCTACTTCCCAGAAAACAAATGAGGCCTTAGACTTAGGGTTTAGGGTTTAAGGGTTTAGACTATGAAGTTTAGATTTTAGGGTTTAGTATTTAAGAATTTAAGGTTAAGATCTAAAAATCAAGAGGTGCTAGGATGCGTGTCCAACATAATTGAGGGTGTTTGGAACCATGGGCATTTATTCAATAAATGCTGCCACATAGGCACTACTTCAGCAGTTCCCCTTTCATGCTCTTCCGTCTGCACCGAGAGTAGCAAAAAGTCACTTCGGTTTCTGTGCACGCCTACTTTTTGGGGAAATTATTTTTTAAAACTTTCTCAAACGGTTAGGTGATTTTTCATTGTTATGCTGATGTAGTGCCTAGTGGCGCCTAATTATCATAAACTATTATAATTATTACCCTTTTTGATTTTGCAAACAAATAAAGTACAAATATTAAATGAAAAAATATAAATGGAACCAAAGACATACAATGTTTTACTCCCGGATGTTTTCTTGGTAAGAAAAAGAGGATATTGGCTTGCACATGCGTGGATATTGGTCGTTGTGGTTCAGATGGACCACACCCCATGCTCTTTTCCAAATAAATGTCAGTTTATAAGGGCTTTCACGCAGCGACTTCTGGCATTGCATGAACCAGGAGAACCGGAAAGCCAACATGTTTTGTTCGTTGAAAATCTGAAAAATCAAAGAAAAACTTGAAAGAGCCATAAAATCCACTGAAACTACAAATAGATGGCTTATCGGAAGTGGCTCTATTAATACAGCTCAACCACTGTAGAAGCACTCTCAAACAGGCTCTAATTGTGAAATTCACATAATGATATATTTTTTAAATAAGTTTTATGGTCACTTATCTATAAACTCTTACCCTTCTCTTATGTGGATATAAGTTATCTTTCCACTTGGAGGCAAAGAAGCTAAAATTAATGAGACAAAAATATATATATATCCATCAAACAGGTTTTAAAAACAAAATGATACAAGGGCGAAAATGAGAAGAGCAACTGTAATAAGTCTGGTGGAAATGAGAAATAAAGATTCATGCAATTTCATCACTAGAAATTTTAGAAGCAACTTTAAAGATGTTTTGGGCTTGTGGAAATATTATAGAGAGATCTTAATGAGCTCTTATAACAAGTAGGTCTGCAAATATCCATTCGTCTGAATTCAAACCAATCCAACCTTTATTAACGCAACCCAAATTTGATCCACTAATTGCCTATGAATCAACTCCAATCAAATCCAATATAATATGATGAAATCATATTTAAAAGCATATATGTTTGTATTTACATAAAATTATTACGTAGCTTTTAGTAAATTAAATTGGTGCCAATGTTTGTTCATTTGCTAAATAGTCGTAGATTCAAATCTCATACAGTTTTTTGTCAAATCATTTTATTTTGTTCATCGTATCAATAATACATTAATATATTATATATATTCTGATTATTTTTTATTGATTTAGTAACGGTATGTATTCAATATCTTAATCTGATCTGCATCTGATCTAAATCTGATTGATAACATTTGATCCAGAGCCGAATATTCTGAACCAAACCAACTCAATGTTATCTAGGTCTGCATTATGGGCCGTGATTATAATAGGGCTGGGACTGGATTTGCTTGTTCCAAATCCATTCTCATTCTTTTTGTAGAATGCATGCATGGATACCAGTCTCTTGCTGCTAGAGAATCGTGAGATCTACTATCTCAATTATAAAACTTGAGAAATAAAATCAAATTATGAATTTCCAGTAGCGTAGGACTATAACAATAACTTGCACATAGTCTGACTACAATTTGTTAATAATCTTTTCGACCCAAATAAACCTGATGTAACTTGTAAGAGATTTGTAAATTAATAAACAATTTGATTGGATGCCTCTAATAAATGAATCACCTAGTTTCACAACGGTGTTAGAAGACAGATTGAATGAGGACGATCGATGTTGGAAGGGTTAGGATTCATCATATGGATGGCCGAATCATGCTAGATGGTTGGGCGGAATTTCAAAAATTTTCTAATCCCTTTGGAAATCGAATTCCCTATGTTTTGAAATTATATTTTTTAGGATTGGTCTTATACTGAACCGGACCATATTTGAAACTAATCAAAGAGGGAGATGTATACTTGATACAAATACCACAAACGTAGATCCCAAGGTGGAAGTTCATGCCCAAATCAGTCCTAAAAATAGCAGTACTACTATCACTGAAAGGAGGAGAACCTATGATTTTCTTTTCAGAGTGATAGGGATAAATCCATACTGGACATATCATCAGTTAGATAACAACAATAATTTGTTATTTGTGGACTTATCAATCCCAGATAACAATTATCTTGTTATCAACTTATGATAACCATTATCCTGTTGTACTTATCATTTTATCTATACATTTAAATTTTGAATTTTAAACTTTGTAACTTCACCTATATAAACCCATGTAATCTCTGCAATTTATTTAATGAGAATTTGCCACTTTCATTGACTCTCGTATGGTATCAGGGCCCTAAAAGACTAACGTCATATTTGCTCAAATTTCTTCGATTAACTATCAAGGTGAGTCATCTTTTAGAAATAATGGATTGGTTACTCTGTCCAGTTTCATGAATGTCATCACAGTTTGCCTAGATAGATACAACTATCTCTTATGGTCTATACAAATTCTCCCTACACTCAATGGGTATCGACTCATTGGATATGTCAATGGATCACTACCATGTCCATCAAAATTTCTTCCTAGCACCAATGATCAATAGATCAACCCCGAATTCACCTCCTGGTATGAACAGGATCAGCTCATATTAAGCTGGCTTCTTTCTTCTCTCAAAGAGCATGTTCTTGCTCAAGTCGTAGGATGCAAAACTTGTAAGGAGGTATGGAACTGGCTTAGCCGTTTATTTTCCTCCACTAACAAATCCAAGATCCATGATTTGAAGCTGGAGTTAGCACATATTAAAAAAGGTGATCTGTTAGTTGCAGATTATATTCAGAAAATCAAAGGGATTTCTGATGCTCTTGCTGCTTCTAATTACTTTATATCAGATTTAGATCTTATTCACTATCTTCTCAGTGGTTTGCCACCAGAGTATGACACCTTTGTTATCACAATTACTACTCGTATGGATGATTTGACCATGCCAGATGTGTAGAGTTTACTTCTTACTTTTGAGAAGCAGTTAGCTCGCCATGCTATTTAGGTTGATTCTCCTTTTGCTAATGATGCAAGCAAGAAAGGGGGAAATACCTTTGGACACTCACAGCAGCATTATTCAAACAAACCTCAGTAGTTCCCTTCTTCAAACAACAAGAAACATCCCAACAATGGTTCTAAACGACCTAGTGGTAAGGATACTTCTGTCGTTTGTCAGATTCGTGGATATGTTGGACACACTACTGCCACTTGTAGGAAATATCTGGAGCTTCTAGGGGTGAAGAAATTTTCCAACAAGAACGCCAATGTGGCTTCTCGCACTACCTCTTCTGTAGGGTCTTCTCGTGACTCAGTCTAGTATCTGGATTCTGGTGCCACGAATCACCTCACTGCAGATCTCAAAAATTTGTCCTTAGTATCTGGACTTTCTCATCGCCTTTCAGCCTTCTCTTAGTAGTGCACAACTCTTTGAGGAATTTAGCATAGCGGGGTACTTGCTTGATTGCATCAAGGAGGGGAATATTTACCTCAACCTTGCAGAATGTCTCAAGAATATCCTTGTCTTGCTCCTCCTTCTTGGATTTTGCAAATCGGCTAGGAAAAGGTGGAGGGGTCACTACGGCTTGGGGTTGTTTACCGCTTGGATCTTGAGTTTGAGGTCGTAGTGCTTCCTTTTCTTTCTCTTCTTCAGTTGTATCTTTAGGTACTTCCTTGCTAGGTTTATTCAGCTCCTTTCCACTTCTCAAGGTGATCGCACTAGCATTCTGCTTCGGGTTGACCATGGTCTGGGAGGACAGCTTTATTGATCCTTGAGATTCCAATCGGCTTACAACAGTTGCCAATTGGCTGACCTGATTCTCTAGGTTTTGTATGCTTGTCCTTGTCTCCTGTTGAAATTGTTGGATGTTAGTTGCAAGTGCTTTAATAATTTCATCTAGAGACATACCTAGTTTGGAAGATGAATATTGTGGAGCTGGTGGTCTAGATTGATATTGTTGTTGGAAGCCGAAGGGCTTAGCTCCGTAGCTAAGGTTAGGATGATCCCTCCATCCTGCATTGTAAGTATTTGAATAGGGATCATATCTCCTTTGCGGGAATCCTCCAACAGCATTGGCTTGTTCGTAGGGTTCATCTT